ACAAAAAACCCTTTTCCTATTCCCACAATATTATCTATGTCAGTTAGGGGTTGCAACAGGATAAAACCTCTAGATGTCCCTGGATGTAAATATTTGTGAACAATGAATCCATGAATCTTACCTTATGTGAGCTTCTTTGCTTTGTTGTAAAGCGAGTCAACCACTTTGCTCATATTCTGAATGGTGTCCAGAGCTGCCTCGTACGTCTTATCCACCACTGGCTCATCAAAGACAATCAACACACCTTCGCCTTGGTCCAAAATACCTGTGAGATGGAGGAGACACAGCATGAGGAAAAATGCGTAAAGAAAATTCATTCAAGCTGAGAGGATTTCTACAACAAAAACCGAAACGTTTGGTTTCTCAGAGATAATTCAGCTGTAAAATAAAAATCATACCATGAAACTTCTGGTCCAGAATCATCTGAGATAATTTCCTCTCTACGTCTCCCTGCAAAGCATAAAATCTCAATGTGGGCATTTCTCAAACAAAACCACAAGAAGTACAGAATAAGCTGATATTTGGAGATGGAAGAGATCTGGGAAGCAGGAGAGGTTGTTTACCTTAGGGAGTTTGATGAGGGAGGAGATGTGCGTGATCTTTTAGAGAGAAGACAAACCCCACAAAGTTTCACCACATTTGGCAGCAATAACTACATAAAAAAGTGTCAAGTAACCAGTTAACATGTCCTGTCTGATTTCTGATGACTACCTGCACCCTGGAGAAAGGCTCGATGACCCTGATGAGGTTCTGCTCCAGCAGGTTGTCATACAACTTTGTCAGATGGGTGCTGATGATGGGGTCATCCCTCAACTCTGCTTTGTACTCTGTTAGTGCCTTAAAGGTCAGGAAAGAAAAGTCATAAATGGGGGGAAACATTCCTTAAACAAAGAAATCAGACAAAAAAATAATAATAATTCCAAAGTAACCTTTTCAAAGTCTGCCAGCGACCGGTTCTTACTGGCTTGCGCTACACATTTGAGGGAGTCTGTCTTTAGAGGGAAAAAAAATGAAATAATTTATTTAGGAACAAAGCAGTCTATAAACAAGAACAAACCACAGGAAAAAGCATGTCTAACTTCCAGACAGGATTCACAAAATATACCGCAATGAATGTTTCATTTAAATCACTGCTCTACAAACACTTTGGAGATCGACCCATGTTTTTATTTTTTAAGGCCCGTGCCGATTAATTTGACATCAGTCTAATTGATCACTGATATTTGCTGCTGATATTTTTGCTCCAATGCTTTAAGCTGATATAGTTTTTCTTCCTCCATTTACATGATTAAAATGACAATGATAAAAATTACACACCTCCTAGTTTAAACAAAATATTTTTATTAACAAATCAGATAAAACATTAGCCACGGATAGAAAACTGAACAAGAGGCAATGAATGCTCCTTGGGTGATCTTAAGGCATGGCTGCTGAATGCACTAATAAATCGGCAAACACATGAACATGTTAACAGATAGAATAAAAAATACATCCAAACAGTAATATGGGGCAGAAGACATCAGCCAAAAATTGTTTTAAGATTTTGTGATAGACCAACACAAACTGTTTAATAACGGGAAAGGAGGATGAAAACAGATAGAGGAGTTTTTAAACTGAAAAGTGTGGTGTGCATCAACATTCTACAACCTTCACTCGTAGACCAACACAGCCAATTCTCTCAGGAATAATCTCATCAGTCATCAGAATCCACTTAGCCGAGATTAATGCGAACCTTAACTTAACTAAATGCATCACGGAAGCCAAGAAACTGAAAAAAATTGGTCCAGGTTTACACCGACTTGAAATTTGAAACAAATTTTAGAAAAAAAAACAACTAAATTCAAAGGTCTAAAGATGTCACTGAGTCAAGTATGAAAGAGCAAACAAACCTGAAAACTGTCAGGCAGCGTGAGGAGAGCATTAAAAAGAGAGGCAGCCTATTGGCTCCCGGTAACTCTGGAGGAGCTGCAGAGATCCACAATTCACGTGGAAGAGTTTGTTAAAGGAAGTCCGGTCATATGCAGAATACAACTTTACTTTAAATATGAAATTATTACAAACCGTTTTTAATTGAAAGTAATTTTCATTTCAATATGCTTTACTGGAGACATCCATGTTTGTCAAACAACACTACTGCCGCCTGCCAGTATGTGACGTCAAGGTGCAGTATCGGCTGTTGAGTAAGTCCCAGTGCTGTATCTGGTGTTTGTTGCAAAGCGCCATTAGCCAAGATGGCNTAGACCAACACAAACTGTTTAATAACGGGAAAGAAGGATGAAAACAGATCAGTTTTTAAACTGAAAAGTGTGGTGTGCATCAACATTCTACAACCTTCACTCGTAGACCAACACAGCCAATTCTCTCAGGAATAATCTCATCAGTCATCAGAATCCACTTAGCCGAGATTAATGCGAACCTTAACTTAACTAAATGCATCACGGAAGCCAAGAAACTGAAAAAAATTGGTCCAGGTTTACACCGACTTGAAATTTGAAACAAATTTTAGAAAAAAAAACAACTAAATTCAAAGGTCTAAAGATGTCACTGAGTCAAGTATGAAAGAGCAAACAAACCTGAAAACTGTCAGGCAGCGTGAGGAGAGCATTAAAAAGAGAGGCAGCCTATTGGCTCCCGGTAACTCTGGAGGAGCTGCAGAGATCCACAATTCACGTGGAAGAGTTTGTTAAAGGAAAAGTCCGGTCATATGCAGAATACAACTTTACTTTAAATATGAAATTATTACAAACCGTTTTTAATTGAAAGTAATTTTCATTTCAATATGCTTTACTGGAGACATCCATGTTTGTCAAACAACACTACTGCCGCCTGCCAGTATGTGACGTCAAGGTGCAGTATCGGCTGTTGAGTAAGTCCCAGTGCTGTATCTGGTGTTTGTTGCAAAGCGCCATTAGCCAAGATGGCGAAGACCAGTGCGCTATGCGAAGCAAAGAGTAACGGATTAATGGCGTGTTTTTTCTCTGGCCAGATGTTCAATGGCAAATCCTCCCTCTTCAAGTTGGCAATCCAGCGATGAACGCGTCCGTGGAGGCTCATGAATAAGAAAGGTGAAATAACTTTTTTTCTTCACTTTTACTCGATGTATTACAACATCCAACTGCCATGCACGCGGGTATTGTCAGTTTAACTATAGCTCTCACGAATTTCAATGGTGAAGTCCTCTGGAAATCATAAAAAATCTAGTAGTTCCCTCTGATTTTGCCTGTAAAGAGGGGAGAATGGGGCTAGGCTAACCTCAATGTGACGTAACTGCCGGAAGATGTTAGGAGTGACGTGTTACTATATTTGGGAAAAAATTACCACTCCCAGACTCGGTGATCAAGACGTAAAATTATTATTTTATTTTTTCACAGATAAAGGCTAAATTCAAATGAATCACATCTAACATATTAGTTTTAGATACAGATAATGATTCATTGATCATGCCTTGCTGACCGGACTTTTTTTTTTAACTGGTCAAAATCATCCAATCACTTTGGAAATCTTACTTTCGTGGAAAAGTTCTCAAAAAAAAAAAAAAGATCTCTTTTTTTGCTCTAAGAGCAGTAAAGACTATAGCATGATACAGCACACATGATCCTCTGACATGGAGGTGGCAGCATCATTCTTTGGGGATGCGTTTCTTCATAAATGACATGATACAATTAAAAAAAAGGCAAAGCTGGATGAGAGAAAACACTTAAAACAACCCAGAGATAAAGGAAATAAAACAACAGACAAGATTTTTGTGTTGGTCTATCAAATAATTCCTAATGATCCTAAAATTTGTATTTAGGATTTAAAGAGTTGGGAAACAGTAATAATACTTTGTAACACCCTTCAAAGTAATCATGGAAAGTTTAAATTGTGAACTTAGTCCTACCTGTCTGCCTGCGTACCGCAGAGCAAGTTTACCACTGATCAGGGTCTGGACATCCTCGGGGCTAAAAGGCAGAAATCTTTTATTTTCCACTAAAACCTAATTTAAGTTCTTCATCAGTTAAAATCATTCATTGAAAATAAAAATGACAGCTTGAAGAACCTGCCATAAAGTGTAGGACTTACGTGTTGAGCATTATTTTGCAGAGCAGCATGTATTTGAGCGCTGTGATGGCTCGCGGGCTGTCGATCGAGTCATAACCCTCAAAGGCCTCATAAAAGTATGAATACGCCGTTTTCCAGTCTTTCTCCTCTGCTGCATGAATGATCCCTGGAATGATGAATAAATGGATAATCATCTCACTGTTTCAAAGCAAGGTTGTGAAATCAGGACCTTGGTGTTTCTCAGCAGACCTGACTGCATGTCTAAAGCAGCTTGGAGTTTGGGTGGGCAGTAGATGGCGTTGGCAGTCGTCCTGGCAGAGGTGAGCGCTGCACGCGCCTTTGGCAGGTTACTGAGCGCGTGGTACGTCTTACTCTCCAGCAGCTGCACCTCCACCAGCAGGGCCTTGTCATCCATCTTCTTGAGCTCCTGCAGCAACTGGGAGCCTGCAGACCCAAAGAGGAAAACACTGAGGTCAATTTTTTTTTTAAATATTTGGTGGAATTTGAAACTAAAGTTTAGTGGTGGCTTTAAACTTCATACAGAGGTTTCCCTTTGCCCTTAAAGGAGAAGTCCAGTCATGTTCACAATTAAAACTTCTGAAAGTACTTTCAATACGAAATGATTACATGCTGTTCAAAAAATGATAAGTGTTTTTAAATTAAGAGCAATTTTCATTTGAATGTGCTTTACCGGACACATCCATGTTCGTCAGTGAACACTACTGCCACCTACCGGTTTGTGACGTCATGGTGCGGTATCGGCTGTTGATCAAGACCCAGTGTTGTATCTGGTGTTTGTCACAACGCGCTATTATCTACGTCATCATGAAAACATTCTTCTTCGAAATGTTTGCTACACATTACGTGTTTTTTCTCTGTCCAGAAGTTCAATGGCAAATCATCCCTCTTCAAATTGGCAAAGGTGAAATAACTAATTTCTTTTTAACTTTTACCCAATGTATTCCAACATCCAGCTGCCATGCATGTGGGCATTGTCAGTTTCACTATAGCTCTGGTGAATTTCAATGGTGAAGTCTTCTGGAAATCTTTATTAATTGTTGTTGATTGCAGATGTGTCTAGTAGTTCCCACTGACTTTGCTTGTAAAGCGGGGAGAATGGAGCTAGGCTTACCGCACTGTGACATCACTGCTGGAAGATGGCAGGAGTGAGGCATTACTATATCCTGGCCAAAATGGCAGTTCCCATCGCGACAAAAATGATTAATTTTTTTTTTACTGATTAAGGTTAAGTTTATTAAAACACAGCAAACATGTTAGTTTTAGGTATAGATAATGATCCATTGATTATTCCTTGCTGACCGGACTTTTCCTTTAAAATATAGACTGAAGGATTCAGACATTGATGCGGTAGTTACCTAATTGTAATGCTTCCTGGTAGCACTTTGTGTCGAAATACAGAGAGATGAGTCGAGCCTGAGGAGGAAGGAAATGGAGTTAGTCTATATCTGTTGTTGACAAGTCACCTAAAACATAGTAAAGCCTTTAAACAATTATTTCTACATGTTACGTGTTTGCACTAGTGGTGTGCCGAACGATTGGCCACCAATCACAATCGGCCGATTTTCATGAAGAAGTATGTAATACACAATCTCTGATCATGGTCTTTAGTTACCAATCACAAAAAAACAATCACCTCTTTCTTCTAACTTTCCACACAGTGCTAAGCACTGCCATGTGGAAAATTTGTGCTTTGAAAGTGAAGATTTCATCTTGCAATAGAAAAATTCCTCTGAGGTGAAGCATGTCAAAATGCATCAATATGACGAAAAAATTATGTTTAAAAACAAGCATTTGATGGAGTATGGTGTTTTTTGAGGCGCAGTGCAGAAAGAAATACACACGATTGCCAAAACTCTCCCCGATTAGCATGATGGTTAAAAAAAAAAAAAAAATTATTTAAAGGTGGACGATGTTATTTTCTTTGTCCGGCCGGATCATCAAAAGAAGTGGTCCTCCTAATTGTTAATCATTCTGGTTATATGTTTACGTAAGGCCTTCCAACGTGCTCGTCCCCATTTTCACTTACCGGTGGGAAGTTTGACATAGTGGGAAAGTAAGCTTGTATGAGAGATGCAAACAGCAACTTTTAAACAGTGCGTGCACAAGGAGAAATGGGCTTGTGCACGCTTTCGTACACATTTAATAGGCGTTCCCTTTCGGGAGCAGATACAGGGTTGCTCATGTGCATTTTTTTAAACCGGAGACTCATGTAAAGGAGCAGCAGTGAAAGGCTTTGCGTTCTACCGACTGCTGTGTGTTGGACCGCTTTCAATTCAGTTTATTTCTTTAGCGCCAATTCACAACACATGTCATCTCAAGGCACTTTACAATTCAGCAGATCAGTCAAATTGATTCAAAGTTTTTGATCTAAGGAAAACCAGCTGATTGCATCGACTGATTGACTTGAATGCAATCCCTCACACTAAGCATGCTTGTAGCAACAGTGGAGAGAAAAAAACTCCCAGGAGGAAACCTCCTGCAGAACCAGGCTCAGTGTGAGCGGCCACCTGCTGAGGCCGACTGGGGTTCAAGGAGACAGAAGCATAGACACAAATGGCAGCTGTAAACGGCGGCCCCGTCCAGGAAACACAGCCAGGCAGACAAGCTCCGGGCCAGCTCCCATGTCATGGGATGAAGAGAGCATATCCAGTTCGTCAGTCAGAAAAACAGGACTACACTGGAAAAACAAGCCGATCTCCAACATCTATAAACAAAGGTGTTGATGGCAGCAGCACCGATGCAGGGGAATAAATATTTCCCACGTTCGAGCTCTACCAGACAGTGGAGTCTCACAACAAATGTCTCCTTAACGCTACAGGATGTGTCTTAAAAATAGAAACTTTTGCTATGTCCTGATATGACGCAGATAATCTGTGAAAAAATAAATAAAAGTTCAAGCTCTTATGCTTCGTCCCGCTATTCTGTATTATCAATCTGCTCAGTCTGAAAATTTTAATCTCCTGAATTAAACATTTCAGCACTATTTCATTTGTCCTCGTGACTGAATACCTGGTGCATTGTGCCTGCAAGTTTTTTTTTTTTTTTTATCTTTTGACTAAATACTAGATAATATGATGCATCTTTGTCAGATCAGAAATCCAGCCAGGCACAAATGGGAGTGTGGCATAGTGGTTAGGGCATTGGCCTTGGAATCCTGAGGGACTGAGGTCAAGCCCCACCTGCACAGACTGCCACTCTGGCTCCCTGAGCAAGACCCTTAACTCCACACTGCTCCCCGGGCACCGCACAATGGCAGCCCACCGCTCCCCAAGGGGATGGGTTAAATGCATAGTGTGAATTTTGTTGCTCTGTATTTGTAACAGTATAATGAAAATAAAAGCTGGGGAAAAAAAAGAAAGAAAAAGTAACCTGAATGCTTTTTTCTTTTTCTTTTTTATTCAGTGGATAAAAACTGATCAAAGCCACTGTTTGTTTTAGTTCGAGTTGAAAAATATATTGGATTTTGTTAACATTTTTTTTTTAAATTGCATAAAAAGAGCATGTTAAACAAGTTGTTAGTAACAGTCGGTTTTCCTATTCCTGCTCAACTAAATGACAAAAATGAAACAACTGATAATCATGGTTTTGTACCCGGACCAAATGTGAGAGATTGTAGTAAGGAGGATACATAGAAACATACTTTTGAAAGGTTAGTTACTCTACATGTAAGATGCTAATAACATTAAAGTCAACTCATTTTGTTTTTGTCCAAAACACTACCTCTTATTAATGATAAAATCACCTCATCCCCTTTAAGAAACTATTTAGTATCAAAATATTTCGACTGCTAACCTTTTATCCCCCTTGTTTTAATCAACAGAAACAGGCAGTTTGCTGGATGATTTAATTCATAACCTTAGTTTTGTGTAAAGTTTGTTGAGCTTGGAGCAAAAATACTTGTATTCCAAAAAAAACAAAGAAAGTTAAAAACAGTCCACTGGACTTTTTTTTCCAAGTTTGAAGATGTTTCGCTTCCCATTCAGGAAGCTTTTTCAATTCAAAATGTCAGGAATAGCGTTGAGTTTGAGGTTTAACAGAACTTTTAACAATTCAATAAATAAATAAAAAAATACCAGTTTACAAAATGAATGTGTACATTACACCAAACACTACAATTAAGCAGCTGAACAAACCAGCTGGAGCCGCAGAGTACCGAGTCTCACCTCAAGCGCCTGGCGGAGGAAGGTCCTTTTCTCTGCCTTCGCCCACTCAATGCACTCCAGACAAAGCTCTACTTCCTGCCCTGTAGCCGCTTCCATATCCAGGAACAAGTCCAGCAGCGAGCGGACCAGACGAGCTGCTTTCGCCTTAGAGATGGAGTTGAGGAAAGGGCGCACATACTTCAGGAGGCCTCCAAGCTCTGGAAAGACAGTTGGCACACAGATGATTAAAGGGTTCTCGCATGTTTGTTTTATTCAAAATTGTGTATAAATGGATAGATTTATAAAAAAAAAAAAAAGGGTGAACACAGTAGGGCTGGGCGATAATTCAATAACGATATATATCGATCGATAGACGTGTGGCGC